GACAGGTAATACACATTTTGGCACAGTTAATTTTCCTCCTTCTGCTCTTGCGGCAATGACTCTCCTTCAATTTCATAACGATAAAATGGTGAATAAATGTAACAGTACAGCATCACAGAGTAACCGGGCTCTCATATGGAGTAAAGGCTTTGTACATGGGCCCCCGTGTGCCACAGAAACGTGGTGAATGGGATGGGCTTTTTCACTCAGGGAGGTCCTGTCTGTTCCATAGAGATGATAGCAAACAAGAGCGTATGGGGAAATGGCCTGGAGCTTCGGGCAGCTTCTCATCTGCCTCTGTCCTTACCCGCGAACGAGTGTACAGATGCCAGTACATCCTGCTACATCCCTAACTTTTATGAACATGTGTGGTTTAGCGATGAGTGCTTTGGGGACAGGGCTGAAAACTCTCCTCTGCTCTCCAGAGACGGGAGGCATCTGCATCGCCCCGCGCCCTGCACAGGATGGCGCCGAGATCCTCCCCGCCATGGCCATGAGACCTTTCTTCGGCATCCATTTGGCGCTGATGGATGAGAAGGTGTTAGCCCGCCTACATTCGCATATGTGGTCAGGAACAACGTGACCATCAGTGTGACGTATGCACTTCATTTATTCCAAACACTGTTGCGCCCCCCTGCTGGGCATTTGGTACTCCATACCATGCTGTCCTGTCAGGCAGGTCAGCGAGGCCCAAAGCTGGTCCTAGGTGGGGGTAGCGTTGATGGCGCTTATCAGGGCGCACAGGGCAGAGTGTGCGGGGTGCGACAGACAGGGTGCCTCTCCAGCAATCCCAGAGATAAGCGGCTCTCTGCAAGCGGCCGCCCATATTGAGGGCGTGGCCCGATATGGGCAGTTGATTGGGGCACCACGCCAGACTGGGTCAGCTGCCTTCCCAGATTCCCTGGGTTTCCTTTACTGCTTTTGGGGAGGGTTCCTGATAGAAAAGTGAAAAGCACTCTCCCCCCCCATACAGTTTTGGGAGGAAGTAAAACGTAGGAATATCTGTCATGAACGTAGATCGTACTGGATAAGAAGTGTAAACAGAATCTGTGTGCCGGTGTCGTTCTCAGGGAAAACCGACAACAGGAAACGACGTCAGCGGTGCTCTCTGTATCAGCCAAACCTGGCCGGGAATGGCCCGAACCATCTACGGAGACCACCAAAGATTTGTGGAGGCTTACTTTAAACCCTACCCTGGTAAGTCCAGCCTTGGCTGGGGTTATATCAGCTATTATTGTTAGTCTGTATATTTACAGGGGGGCTGGCCTGCTCTCTTACTTAGTTTCGGTTGCAGGTAATTGTATCATATTGGGGGTCATCATTTCGCATGGCAGGTCATTATTTCACCGGAGACGGGGCTTACCGCACCCAGCAAGGCTACTACCAGATCACAGGCCGCATGGATGATGTCATCAACGTCAGTGGGCACAGGCTGGGCACCGCGGAGATCGAGGACGCCCTGGTGAGTCACATGTCAGCGCGGGGTCTCGATGTTATTATATACAGGAAGATCATTTAAAGGACCACAGGCATTAACGGTGAGTAGCGAGCTGCAAAGCGACCAACATGAGCGTGTGATGGGTGATGCTAGGGGCTGTGAAGGTCAGCAACTGAGCGGCTCCTGTTTACGGCCTGCAGGACGAACACCCGAATGTCCCTGAGACGGCAGTGATCGGCATTTCACACGACGTCAAAGGAGAAGGTGAGATCAAAATACATACACAGACAGAGACACGCACACACACCCTGACCGGATATACTTCCCCAGTTCTATATAGTTATAAGTTTTTGAGAAATCATTGGCTGTATTTACACATTTCAAAATGAGATGTAAAGTGTGTGTGATTTTTAAGACCCAGCATCTATATTTTTAAGCCCACAGAGGAGTGCTGACTAGAACTAATCTTGCACCCTAAGACACCCATGATTATCACACTTCTGCAGAGAGGCGGCGAGTGTAGGGTCTGTCATTGGTCCGTGCAAAGCAGGGTGACCGTGGCGACCTCATATCTTACATCCTTTGTAGACCCATCCAGTCTTATCACTCCAACTCAGCCCCTCTGGCCAAACGGTCAAGACAGGAACTTAGCAATGAGTGCCTTAAAGGCGCCCTTCCTCCTGCCTCAAAACAACAGGCCTCTAAGTGCACTTCCTGCTGTCATAAAAGGTCTCAAAACTCAAGCACATTGCATATCAGTAACCTACATCTTTTTGGTTAATGATTGGCTATATTAAGACTCATTTAGGTCATGTACAAAACAGCATTTTGCAGAAGGGTAACATTTTGGAATCAACTCTATTCGCCATGTACAGCCCAAGTACAAGGAATTTCTTTTGGTGTAATGGGTCACTTGGGGAAATAAAAAAGTACAGCAAGTATTAACAGAGCAATAAACAACCAGCAACACAGAATATATACAAGTAAGCAAAACGAGACAGTTGGATAAGGTGCAATGGGACAAACCACCCAGACAGTCCAGCATTATAATAATATAGATAGACAAGTGAAAAACAGTTCAGTCAGACGATTCATGACTGAATATGTTTACAGCTCAGGGGAGAAAGCTGTTCTGATTATGTGAAGTTTTGGATCTGAGTGACCTGAAGTGATTGCCTGAAGGCTATGAAACGGTTAACATGCCGGATAACAGAGGTCAGCACTGCACTGCCATGAACTTCATCTTCTCCAGAGGTTGTACAGATGCAAGGCAAAAGGCAACTGGCGTCCAGTCACTTTCCCTGCAGAGTTTAGAGTAGGGGTAGCTGAAGTGGATTCTCTCCAGACAATGAGGGAGCATGTCAGTGTGCTTTGTACAAATGAGTTAATCAGTGTCCCTGCTGATTTGAAAGTACGGTAGTGGAGTAGGAAATATGTAGAAGGCATTCTCCCTAGCATGGGTAAATTGCAGACCAGTCATTTTGCGAGTCTTCTGGAGCAGAAAAACACGATTCTGATGCTGTTGATGGAGAAGCGCCTGTGTCTTCAGTGTTGTTATTAAGTTTGAGATGTTAAAGAAATTCCCCTTCAGGGTGTGTTATTCAGAGAGCGAAAAGGACACATGACAGTCAGCTTGTACACACACACAGATTAGGTATCTATATCTGTATGGGGGCTGTACATTCATTTGTATAGCCATAACACTAATCCCAACATGACAACCTTAACCCCTACCCTGCCCTAACCTTAAACATAAGCAACCAAACAAAATATAACACTTTCGGCTTTTTTAGTTTGTTGATTGCATTCACAATTTTTTTTTATAAAAATAAGGTCTATATTGTGGAGACCTGAAAAATCTCCCCACAAGCTAAAAGGTAAAAGACATTAGGTCCCCACAATGTGGTAAATACAAACCCCTATACAGTAGCGGTAACAGCCAAGCCATCACTTAGGAATGAGCCAGACACATAATGCTCTCATGGGCCCCTTCTGCTCCCACAGTCCCATTTGCATTTGTGGTCCTGAAAGACGCCACTTCCCTCGACCAGACCAAAGTCATAGAGGAGCTGAGAGCCCTGGTGGTATCCAAAATAGCCAAGTACGCCATCCCTGACCACTTCCTGGTAAGTGCTCCTTGGCAACACAATGCTTCGCACAAACCCAGGGATGCTACAGAGCCTGGTCCTAAAGAACTCCATCCTGGACAGGTTGTCAGGCGGCTCCCGAAGACCCGATCGGGGAAAATCATGAGACGGATCCTGAGGAAGATAGCCATGGGGCAGGCCGACAACCTCGGGGACATCTCCACCCTGGAGGACCCTAGCGTTGTGGCAGAGATTGTCCAGGCCTATAAGGGCAGCCAGCGCACTTCATCTGATGGGCGCTAGCCTCCTGCTGCCTCTGAACTGTTTCCATTCAAGTTATCCATTCTTTATCGATTTTCCAGCATTTCCAATAATGGACGAGACCCTGTTGTTTCCAGGTGACGTGTTACGACGCCACCCAGGCAAATGATGGTCATGCGCTGCAGAGAAGCCTGTGTCCCAGCTGTGTGGTCATGTTTTCATGGACACTAAATCTGTGCTATATAACCTGCTGCTCTTCATTGTTGTCCTAGTGCTACAACCAACTATTTAGACAGAATTTGTATTCACGCCCCAGAAAGGGAGATGATCTGCAAGAACAGCTCCACTCAGGGCAGAAATGCCCTCCTCTTTGGATAACCCTCAGATTCAGCTCACACTTCAGCCTGCCTTGTGGCACTGAGATGCAGGAAATCAATCAGGAACCACTATAAACTAAGAGACAGCATAAGCACCACCATGACTAATACAGGCACTAAGGCTGTTGTAGCTTCTAGTGATTTTTTTAAAATTTGTGAATATTAATAAACGCAATGTGACGTGCCTTAAATTTTATAGCCAGTCAGGTAATAACCAAACTACATTTGCCTCACAGCAGGACTGTCTGTACGGTGTATTTGTGACATTCAAGATCTGCACCTTATCGCCTGTTACCTGCTGCTGACAACTAACTACAAAAGGTTTTAATCTGTCTACAGTAGATATATTTTGAATGAATAAAGAAAACCATTATAAATAAACAATAAAGAGCTACCTTTGAAAGTCAGTGACGTGCATTAATACAGTACAGAGATGTAGCATTGGTCATGTTAAACCTAATGAGGGCATGTATTTGCCATGACAGATTAACTGAGATGTAGGCCTACAATAAATGTGCAAAGATACAACAATGAAATTTAGACACACATCCAGGAAACACTGAGTACTGTATTAGCCTAATGAGCTAGTAACCCATTAACCTTATTTTAGTAGGTATGAGGTGGATTCTTTGTATTTATGTAAAGGAAATATGAGCTCCATTAGGATTTAGAGAAAAATTAGTGGTGACCACTTTTCTGATGGGGGTTTTCAGCCTAATGGTCTGCAGAGGAATTGTAGAGATTTTGAAGAATAATTTCATGAATGTCCGTATCAGGGGGGGGTGGGGCTACATCCATGCATCTTCTATAAAGTCACAAAGCTGTAGCTTAGGACCATGTGTACGCCATAGATCCTGGAGGTGGCTCCTTCACAACTCTCAGGGAATCTGGATTGAGCAAAAACGTGCCGCCTCGGGGTCCCCGAAGACTGGTTTGAGAAACGGTGGTGTTTGTTACGTTACTGATCAATTACAGTTCACCTTCCCATGCTCTAGGTGGCGGTATTATATCTATTCCCTGTGAAATCTGCCGATCAGTGAAGTAGTGCAGAATTTCAGAATGTAGCTCGGCCTGGTAGCCGACGTCCAGTTGTGCACCTTTTTTCCCCCCTTAATGATTTTTAATTTAGTCGGATCGCGGAGGATAATGAGCAAAAGCTGAAGGCTTTTTTGCCAGACGACATGTTTCGTGGTGATCCGCAGCACAGCGAAGAGGCGCGCCAGTACGGCCCAAGGGGCCTAACGCTCCCCACTCCCAATATGGCTCGGTATGACCCCGCCTATGGTTCGGTGTTGCGTCCCGATCGGCCGGGTCCCCGGGGGCCGTATGCTCCGTGCGTGCGGCACTTAGCCGCTTTCCCTCCGCCGCCCCAACAGCGTCCTCCGCAGTGCAAGGTGCTGCCGTTCCCGGGCTCGGGGGGGAGCCGAGGGCAGGGCGACGGGCTCCGCGAAGATGGCTTCGGACAGGTAAATCGCATTATAACGATGAAGATGCAGTGAATATTTCTATCATATTTTTATATTGTTTTAATATTACCTGTGAGATCGGGTAAATGCTGGATGACAAGTGGAAAAGTAGGTGCAATGGATAATTTCAGTGATGTGTTAGTCACAACGTCTTTTTACCCGATAGTAAAAGTGATTTCTCTTGGATTTTGACTAAGACTTTCGTGATCATTTTTATTTGTACAGATTTACAGTTATATAAGATAGATGTGGTCCTATTAACAGTTGTATGTCAGGTAAATAGTTTTAAAATTTAAAACAGTGATACTTCATTCATCCCCGCGGGGAAGTTCCCATTTCACCTACCCCATCTTGCTCTCCATGAGACACGCTGACACATATACAGGTTAGAGCAAGCTTGCGGGTCACAGCACAGGGTCAGCCAGCATGCAGCGCCCATGGAGCTGAGGGTTAAGAGCTTTGCACAACGGCTCATGGACATATGATTATTCTGCCGAGGCTTGGGCTCAAGCTGGTGACGTTCCATTTACAGGCACAGAGGCTCAGTCCATTGAGCCACTCACTGCTCTCATTATTCTGCCTTTTCTCTGCCCTTCAGCCACAGGCCTCAGCATCCATTCACAGAGGCATCTCCGTGGAGTCCGCAGCCTCATCCATGTGCCCTGGGGAGGCCGGATCACCACCAGAACAGGGAGGCCAGAGACAGCCAGACAACAGGTGATGCATCAGAGTCGTATAATGGGAGGATACATCTATGCAGTAAATATGACCTTATGAATGAGTTAGTCTTGCATGGCATTTGGTAATAGCCATTTTAAAAATGGAGCTAAGTTAAGTTACTCGTAGCTGGGCTCTACCCTCTCCACCCCCACTCCTCTTGCACCTAACCTGAATAGACAGTAAAATTGTTGTATATGTAAAGGTGTGACAGCTGTTAAGGATGTAAGACATGCTCCATGGTGCCCTCTCCTGGGGAGTCCTGTGCAATAGAGTGCCGCAATAGGGTGTCGGGTCCACGCTTGTTTGTGACATCTGACAGTGCATTTGGTCATTTGTGAATAATATTTTCCATGGTGTTTGGGGAAATCTGTCACGTTCAAGTAACTTAGCTCACTGCCCACTCGTCTCCTTCAGCGCCAAAGCTGGTGAGGAATTTCTTCGACTTCTTGCAGCTAAAGAAAGAATACATGCAATTCATGACAGAGGAGATGTGCGGTACCCAACTGCCCACCACGACGCAGCTTTCGACGGCTGCAGTTCCTCGAGGCGGAGCCCAGTCAGGGGGAGGAGTCAAGGCCCACAAGGCACCAGGAGAAGCAGGGGGCGGAGCAGAAGCCAGTCTAGAAGCAGGAGCCGTGGAAAAAGCAGGGGGCGGAGCCGTGGGAAAAGCAGAGGGCGGAGCCGGAGCCGTGGGAAAAGCAGGGGGCGGAGCCAGAGCCGTGGGAAAAGCAGGGGGCGGAGCCAGAGCCGTCCTCACAGCAGGAGTCGGAGCCGCGGAAAAAGCCAAGGGCAGAGTGAGAGTCCGAATGTGCAGGCGGAAAGGAGTCTCGGTGATGGGACTCCCGATATTCTCTGGAAGCTGCGGCTGGTGCATCGACGCAAAGAGCTGGAGAAGCTGCTGCTGGAGGCCAAGAGGCTCATCCTGCAGAGACGGGTATTGTGTTTCTCTCTGTCTCGGGCAGGACGGAGGGGGTGTGGCTGGGGCCATGACACAGGAATACACATGGCAGCAAGTTTATGTCTGAGTATCTGAGAGTGGGGAGCTTACTCGTGGGTAGGCGATGCACAGTCATTAACACGCTTGTTTGTATATGTCTGCTTTTAGGAGTATTTAAGTTGTTGTTTCATGTGAGCAGTGTCGACCTGATGCCCATCTCCGTTGTGGCACTTTTGTACAGGAATCCCCAGGAGAGGGCACCGTGGAGCAGCAGGGCAGCGGTATGTCTATGGAGGCCAGACACTTCCTCAACACCATCGCCAAGGGGATGGAGTCAGGCCTTCTGGCATCCATCCTGGGGGAGAGGAAGGAAGAGATGGGGGAGGAGTCCCGTGAGGTGGGTGAAAAAGTAGTCAACATCTCCGGCGTGCAACAGGAGACACGGACGGAGAATACCTGCGATTCTCTCCTCCCTCACGAGAAGGTTGGGCTGGACGTGGGCGGGTTCTCCCGCATTTTGGGCCTGATGGGAGATTCAGGAGGCCAGCAGGACGGGAAGAAAAACTTCACAGACATAGAGGATGAGGAGCGGTTCCTCTATGGGGATGAAGAAGAGGTAGGGGAGGAGCTGGCTGGTGCCTCATCCTTGGTGGGATCCACACGGCCGCAGAATCAGCCTGCAACACAGGAGGGCGCAAAGCCTAAAAGCAAGCAAGAGTCCCTGGGCAGGCAGGGAGCTGCAGAGAAGCTGGGCGTGGAGGAGGTGAAGAAACTTCTGCTGAAGGCCGCTGGGCTGGGCCTCGGTGTGGCTGAGGCAGCCAGGATACCGAGTGGGCTGCGGGGAAAGGGGACAGAGTCAGCGGCACCCGGCCACACAGAGACACGCCAGCATCCCTCGTCCCATCTGCCAGTCCAGGGGGTGTGGCCCAGCGATGGCCCCATTTGTGTGACAGTGCCAGGACGTGACAAGAAGGCTGGGGGAGGGCGGAGGTTTGGAGACAAAATTGGAGGAGAGGGTGTCCAAGGCCGTGCTGTGACGGTGTGTCGGGCACCTTCGGACCCCCCAGCGGACCAGCAGATTGCCACTACGAACTCGCCTTTCCCATTGACACGGACCCCTCCTAAGGGGAACCAGCAGTGCGTCATGCGGCCCCTCTTTCCTGCCTACCTTGCACCCTCACGGCAGCCGGTGATGCTGGAGCTGCCATCTGCCTCAGTGGCAGTTCCAGGTAAAGTGAGACTGCAGAAAGAAACGGACGGTCATGTGACATTTGCAACTGAAAAATATCTGCTGTGCGACAGTCGTGCAGCAAAATATCTGCCATCTGGACAGCTAAATTACTATCACTATGGTTTAACAGTGGTCAAATATGGAGAGTAATAAACTGTAACCAGAATGCCAAGATAACAATATTCCAATCATTTTTTTTTTGCCTGTAGCACCCTCTAAGGCAGAGAGCATGCAGAGTGACCGCGGCTGGAGCCAACAAGAGAAGCCATCGGGAGAAAGATGCGAGGTGCTGCTTGTACTGCGGTTAAATCCTGTGTGGTTTCTTAGTGAGCACCAGGTGCTGCTCACGTAGCTCCATGACTGATCTGTGGCCTGTAACGTGTAGGTCATCAAAGGAGCAGAGCCGTCAGCCCAGGTGGAGAGCAGGAAGGAGTTCCACGTCATGGAGCTCAAGAGGTTACTGGAGCATCAAGGTATTTTCATGCACATAGTGTTTGCTAGAAAAACTGTGCCCCCTAGGAGCAGACCCCTGTTTTCGGTGACGGCTGCTTGCCTCTGCTTTCGTAGGCTGTGACTTCATCGTCCCCGTGGTTGGCTTCTACTGCCAGCTGTGTGAAGAGTTTCTGGGAGACATGGCCTCTGCCAAGATGCACATGGCGCGCCATCCCCGTGACGACCAGCCAAAGGTAACAACTTGGTCCCCCCGCAGGGCTCTGGTGGACACACATCCCTTTGCCTCACGGTGACCGAGTTGTCGGTGGCTTTTGCATTTTCTGTTTGAACAGAAGCAGGATCCTGCCACAGGGGGGCGCTCCACTCAAAAGCGAGGCCATGAGGAAGCAGATCTGGGTCCTTGGAGAACCTCAGAGTGGGCCGTTCCAGAAAGAAAGACAGAAAGGTCACTGCTGGTCACAGAGTTTGCCGGTGTGACAAAGTGTAGCAGGAGGGACCTGGCGGAGGGAAAGGGCGTGGCAGGCGGAGGTACGGTGAACAGCCCCGAAGGGTGTGAGAAGGAGGAGGAGGAGAAGAAGAAGAAGAAGAAGAAAAAAGAGAAGAAGAAGAAAGAGAAGAAGAAGAAAAAGAGGAAAGACTGACTGGCAGCATTAATGGTGCGGTGATTCCTGAGCTGATAGTCGCAGCACCACCACTGTTAAAGTATGCATTTGCTGTAACATTGTCATGGTTACCTGCAGGATGATGTGCATGCGGTACATTGTATTTATAAAAAACCAGACTTACAAGCTCCTTAAATTGGTAATTGTGCTTCCCTCTCAGAAATTACTCAATTTCAGTCTTTGATAATTTTTCTTATGATTGATGGTGTAGTGTCTTCTGACTGTCCAACAAACTATATTTTAATAAAAATAAAATAGCCCATCTGACAGGGCGAGATCATAGAGCCTTTTGATGGAGATTGGTCGCTGTCAATTGATGGATCAGTAAGCCAGTAATAAGGACACGAACTTGATGTGAGCACCAATATGGAACCAGTGAATAAAAAGTGTGTGTGTGTGTGTGTGTGTGTATGTGTGTGTATATAAATAATATACACATATACCATAGCTTTAATTTTCTCTATATGCTGTCCAAAAATGAAAACTGTAGCTGGACTACTTCATTATTTTAAGTGAATTATTTAAACAGTATTTATACAAGAATGATTCTGTCCCAAGCTTTTTGATCCATAGAAGTGATTAATCACTATAACCATGATCACTATATGTATGTGTGTTTATGGGATGTTGCATACATTTTCACTAGCACATACTGGCCTCTCATCAACCAATCCCTGTGGTTATTGCAGGCAAGCTTGTGCATGAGAACTAATGTCAGCCATTGTGACAGTGTCTTACTTTTAGCTTTGGAGTTTTGCTAACTAAGACTTGCTCTCAGCCACTTCGTGAATAGGTTTTAGAAAAAAAACTCAACTTAAAGCGCAATTTAGGAGTACTCTTCGTGGTAAGGTAAAACCCTTTGTGAATACAAGTGGAGATCGCGGTATTGCCAGCAGAGAAAGTCAAGTAGATCTGGATGTTATCAATGTAGTAGTGGTAGAAGAAACCATGTGATTGGATGATCTGACCTACAGGGGTAATGTAAAGAGAGGAGAGGACCAGGCAAAGACAAACTAGGCAGCTGTCTAGGGCTTGATCATCAGAAGGGGGTCCCAGTTATCAAAATCTATCAAGGACCTACCCAGAGCCCCTGACAAAGTAGGTCCAGCCCAGCCAAGGACAGAACCTTGGAGACCAGTAGTTGTTACCTGATGTGATTTGGACAGCTCTTCACCCTGCTTGGAATGATAATTAGAATTTTTGGAAGGCTAAAGCCTTCAATAATTAGTAGGAAGTGTAGAGGCCGGTGTTTTGAATGACTTTAGCACATCTGCAGGACATCACTAGCGGTGGCCTAATGGTTAGGGAAGCACACTTGGAATTGAAATATTGCTGGTTTGAATTCCTGACCAGCAAGGTACTGACCCCAAGCACTGCTCCCCGGGTGCTGAATTAGCTGCCCCCTGTTATGTCACGATGTCACATATGGGTTAAATGCAGATGACACATTTTGTTATTGTGTGCCATGGTGTGTCAGCAATAACTAATCACCACCTAATTTCTCACACTGCTCTGGTTTGATCTTGGTCCACTCTTCATCCAGTTTCTTACAC